TTCATCGAATAGATATTTTAGGAATAATTCTTATGCCCCATAACAGTGAAGTCAACGACGATGACTTTGTTGAAGCAATGAGATAAACACAAATTCTTTTTCTGATTTTCTGATGTTTTATTTAATTATGAAGAAGGGTAGCTATATTTAGAGAAAAGAAACATATAGGATTTTTAGTTAGGAAAATTGAGTGAAGCAAAGTCTTGAATTCGAGCGGTGCTGGTTTGTGTTGTATGATAGACAGATCAAAAAGGTTTGATTTTGGTTTATATAATAGAGTGAGGTCTTATGGGGGATTGTGAGGCTTCTGTAGTGCGTGGAGGAGACGAGCAGAAGAAGTTTTGGGTTTACGCACACAGAAGAAGAAAAGGAGGGTAAGACTTCTTCACGACACTGTCAACATAATGGAGGCGTGATAAAGGGATTCCTATTTGGTTACTGTTGGTAGAAACAAGAATCTAACGGGCTAGTCGTATGAACGGAGAAAGATCATGAGGATTTCAATTGTGGGTTATGTAGCAGATAGGAAATTATGGTTGAGAAGTTCATTTGGCTGTGGTTTGTGCGATTGGAAAAGCGGAGCAGAGAGAACAGTGGAGATGGCTCAGTGTTGGGAGAGACAGATGAGAGTTTCAAATGTTTTTGAATGCCATGATCCCGTCACATGCTGTGAAGTAGAGGAAAGGGACGCGGGCAAGCAAAATTGGTCAGAGCTTCTAACATTTGAGTCGAGTCAGCATGCGAGCCATCACAGGGAGAGACGGAGGGGTTTCCAGTAATGCAAACACAAGGAGGATACGGATGTGGCTTTTTCGTCCTAACAGGTAGAATTTGAAGCGCGGGTTTTGAACTTAAGGGAAGGGTAATGCAAAACGAGAAAGGAGTAATGGTTCTAAGAGTGATTCTCCATCTTGTTTTGCTATTTCTGGAATGAATCTGAGAGGAGTTGGGGATGTTTCAGTTTCTGTATGTGAAAGCAAGGAGGAGGGGTATATGAAAAATACAATTTAGCTTGTAAAAAAGATTGAAAATTTTACTTACTATTAATTATATGTAATTAAATCTAATTAAGAACACTTAATGTTTAATTATTTTTGGACACCAACAATTTTTGTTATGGGATATCTCATATTGAGATGGCGAAGCGGTGTCATATAGATTGTTGTAGATCGGCTAATGATGACCATGCATTTTCTTTTTATGAGACATTGATTCATTTGATAGGTTAACACAAATGTATGTGAAGAAGATTGAGAGAGATGGATTACTCATGGTGATTGCTTTTGATTGTGACGTTAGATTCATCTCTAGGCTATAGAGAGGTAGGCATGAGTGATTAGGTCTTAGATTATACTTCAGTTCAACATTGCAAGTGATGTAGATTTTGTAGGACCTAATTTGGTTGTGTTATAGATTTTGGAGTAGTTCGGAATCGTGCGGCTGTGATTGAAATGAATTTATCTACAACAAAATTTTCACTTTAGTATTAGTATGGATTTGTATGCGACATTATGTGGCTGATACTGTAGAATATCATTGCCATAGATTGAAGTTAGAGAAAGGAGATTGATAAGTTTAGAACTTGTGGATGATGCAAATGAAAATATCAATCTCATCAAAGGTTGATTTAGAGAATGGCATTATAGACAAATCAAGTGCTATCACCCAACACCTTTTGTAGAGATTGAGGTGATGGATTCTGCATTTGTGAAGGTCCATTGCAACTTTCAAGGTTTGAAGAGTTTTTCATGACAAGGAAAATCGAGCCTATATCATTTGAGGTTATTTATTGTGTTGGAAAGTTTGCCCACAAATCTTTACTAATATGATGGATGATTGATTCAAATCATATGTTCCTCGTTTCATCATTCTGTAATGGGTCACAAATCCAGTGAATTAAGTAGAAGTGACATAGGTTAATGTATGGTTTGATTTAACTTATCAAAAAATTGAATGTATGTTTGTCGGCGCTTAAAAGGGGAAAAGTTAAATGTCTGGGGGTCGCCCGTAAGAAGCTGTCGGTCGCCGGAATCGAAATCCCGTCGCCCGCTTCGGAAGGACTTTTTAATTTACGTATATATATATATAATTTTAGAAAAATATGAAATCAAACTGACCTCATATTTTTCACAGTTTAAATGAAAGA